TGCATGTTATTTCATAAAATGAATGTGGTATGATTACTTAGACATTTCCATCATCCTGAACACTAACTGTGCTTAAGGTAACATAATTTTTGATTTTAGACTAATGGGTCTAAATCTCGTTATGGCATACACACCCTTCTTAATGCCTTGCAATTATGGAGTATCTCCTCACTAAAAATTAAAAAAACAAAAAAACACACACTGCATATAAAGTAAGTGTGTATACAATTTCCTTTGGAAAGTAATAAATGGAGTTAAAGGAAGGACCTCAGGTTAAAGATTCCTGTTCTAGACCATTTGAGGCTCTTGTCCATTTTGTGAACTTACAAATACCCATCACAACTACCTTCATATGTATGTTGTTCCTGATGTATACACATCCAGACCTACCACATAATAACAACAGGATTTCCTGAGCACTTACGCTACAACGGACTGTTCTATAAGGGTTTTACCTGTATTGACATCAGACCCTATCTTCAGAGAGTGCAGTAAGCTAGGCAGAGGCAGAGACAGGAATGAAATCCTGGTAATCTACATCTCGAGTCCGGGTTAAGTCCTATCTACACAAATCATGTAACGGAAAAAAGGAAACTCACCTGAACCTTTATTTTAAGATGTACAGCAATCCTTCCCCCGCAGACACGCCTGTTCTGAAGAATGCTGACCTAAGGGAAAGAGGAAGATAAAAAATGATGCAATAGGGCCTTTCTGGAGTGCAGGCAGCATTGGAAAATATCCTCCGGACACCCTGGCCCCGGGCCCTATCTGAAACCAATAGAAATCAGAGGGCCACGGCTCTGAGTTTCTGAGAGATTCCTGGAGACCAGGCTCCGAAACCGAGGCTGTGCAATGCGTAGCTGCCCCTTCTTCCCACCTCCCCCACCCCGGGGGCCGCTCTCTCTACCAAAGGAATTCTACCCGACGCCACCTCCTCCTGTCACGCAGGTGGCCTGCACGCACGGCCCTTCTGCCTGCAAAACTGCCCCCTCGTGACTGTCTTTATCTTTCTTGTGGATCATTTTCGCCACCGGATTCGGGCTCTTACGTCCCCGCGCAGCCACTTTTCTCGGCAGGTTCCGCTCGGCTGCGAGGCGAAGACAGAAAACGGCAGCGACGTCCGAGCCACAGGTTGCACCTCCGCGAACAGCCGAGCTCGCACAAAAGGCCACCCGCCTAATCACTCGGTCCCCCGAGCGCGAACCTGCCCTCCCGCCGCCGCACGGAAACAC